AAAAAAAAAAAAGAGGCCACAGTTTTACTCACAGTGAATTCAGCTATTTTCACATTAGCTGGTATATTACAAATGAAGTAAGCAATTCCATCCCTCTGACTTGTCACTGTCAATGTATCCTTGTGCCCTAAGAATTTGAAGGTGTCTTGTTCATTGTTAGCTGTGGTTATTGTTGCCCTTGTTGTGATTGACACACCTTGCACTGGTTTACCCAAAGGATCCTTCACCAAGACCTATGGTTTCAAAATGTCACCAAAATGTTGGGATGAAACATTTATGAATATATATATATGTTTGTTCTAATATAATAAAACTACTTGAGAATACAGGTTTCTTACTCTCATAGAGTATGGTAGACCCGGTTTGATGAAAGGAGGGGTTGCGATCAGATTCAGTGTAAATGGAGTGTCCACACATTTCACATTTGAGAGCACTGCTTCCTGGGAGATACCACCTGACAATGAAGAGGGGTTTCCAAAGTTGTTAAATGGATGTCACATTTATTTGCTTGATGGTTTAAAACAGGATAACACACTCCTGTGTCTGTGGAACTAACTGGACCTACCAGTTGATTCTTGCAACAAAACTCTCACTCGAAGAAAGGTGTTTTCTTTCATGGCACTCAGACTTTGAGGCCCATCTGGCACAGATAACAAAGCACTCTTGATGTTTAAGTTGATGTCTGCCTTTCCATCTTTCAGCTAAAACAAAAGCCAAAAACAAATGTATTCTCTGACCTCAAACATTAAACAATGTTTTGTTGAGCGCACACTGACCACGTGTTTTGAGAAGGTTGTTGGTATCATGACAGTTTCATCTGGAGAACTGTATCCGAACGTCAAGAAAATATCTGCCGAACTAACTGGTGTCCCATGAACATACCTGTCAGCACATATACACAAATTTAAACAATTTGCAACACTGGCAATATATAAAATATTATTACAATTTAAAATCAATTTCTAACTTAAAACTTTCTAATTTCTCATTTAAAACTGTTTTCCAAGTTTTAAGCATCATTATTCCAGTTTTCAGTGTCACATGATCCTTCAGAAAT